AACCCGATCCAGCGTTCACGAACGGAGGCAAAATTTTGCGAACGGAGCTGTTCGTGAACTGAATTGTTCGTGAACAGAAGCATTTGTGAACTGAGGTACCACTGTAATTCTCCTTCTGGGAAGGTGCACTTGTACATGTAAGCAGGAAAGACATCCATGAAGCTATATCCTTTTCCAATCTATATTCCATTAGTGAATGCTACAGTAATTCTTCTGGAACAGAACCCATCTACCATCTCAGACTCACCTTCCTGCATTCACTATAGTCAGCTGGTTTGCAAAAACAAATGGATAAGCGGCTGAAACCTGACCATTGAAACATGCAGGTATCAATATGTATATTTAAATTCAGAAAACTGACAATAGTGAACATGTCTTAAGTGCAGTTACTGACCGCAAATCTATATATACTGTGATAAGTGGAACCGGGATCTTGTACAGGCAACCCCAAAAGAAAATGACAAATAGGAAATACAACAATGAACATATAAAAAAATGGGACTTAATTAAACTGGAGATCCACTTGCCCCTAGCCCCTGAATAATCATAGATTTCAATCAAAGAGCATTCTTGACCCATAAGTTTGTGCTAGGAATTTTTACAGTATACAGAATATAAACTAACTCAAGGGGACAAATAAATGGATTCAAATGTTTGTTACCAACGTTATGTTTAAAAATAACTTTTAAAATGGAGAGGATAGGAACAAATTCATTATAAAATGTGAACTGTTAAAGAAAAAAGCATAAGGAGACATTATGTGTTTAACAGGGTGGTCTCACATTTTCCTAACATGTATTTAGTAGTCCATTATTAAATTAGTTCAGAAACACCATTTCTATATATTGTCTGGACTGATGCCTATTTTTTAGGTTTTAATTTATTTTCCTCCTCTTTAGTTTCGATGGCTCCCATGATATAACAGACAACAAGTAAGAGGGCCAATAAGAACAATGATGAAATCCAAAATCACTGGAAACCCTTTCATAAGGTTTTTTAAAACATCAAAAAACAGATCTCACTCTGAAGCAGTAAAAAGAAATTTACTTGCCTGGTCCACATCACAAGCAAGCCGAAGCAGTACAGGAAACAAACGTTTATACAACTGAAACATTGGTGGGGAATTCTCTTGTCCTTCGGGTATCTGAGAAGCTTTTCCCAACATGAACATAACGATGCTATGCAAGAGCTCACAAGCTGCAACCTGAAAAAAGTGAGTTGATCAGCTACTTCAATTAAACTCACAAAAAGATATGGTAAGCAGAAACTTTGGGGGACATTTTCCAGAATTTATTACTCCACACTGTAAAATTACTTTGTCTAAAATGTGTACTTTTGCTCTCTATTACAAAACATGTAATCTACAATTGGGTTGTTCCAAATTAACTTACCATTATGAATTATTCAACAAGTTTTATTTGATGAAAAATATGATTTAACATGAAAGAATATTATGCTACAGTTCTAAACCTTTAATTGTTGTATCAAAGTAAAACTTACAGTTTTGGGCAGTGTTGAGCTTCAGGGTTGAGTGACTGTGGTCTAGTCAACAGATTTCCTGACGTTATACTGGCATCTGTGGCTGGCATCTTCAAAAGCAAAGTGGTGTGTAGCAGACTACCTTCCCTCTGAAGATGCCAGCCACAGTTGCTGGTAAATCGACAGGAAATCTGTTGTCTAGATCACGGTCACTAAACCCTGAAGCTCAACACTGCCCAACAGATACTGGCCATGAAAGTATATTATTACAGTTTTGGTTTTACTATGTTTGAAGTTGCTTTACTATCTTAAAAATGCACTATTTTTCCTATTACTTTTTTTCTTTTGGTGCCTTCGAGTCAGTTTTTGAGTCCTGGTGACTGCCTGGACTGGTCCCTGAAGTTTTCTTGGCAACGTTTAACAGTGTGACTGGCCCACACTGACAGTGTGACTGGCCCAAGGTCATCCAGCTGGCTTCATGCCTAAGGCAGAACTAGAACTCACGGTCTCCCTGTTTCTAGCCTGATGCCACTCAACTACTATACCACGCTGGCTCTCCTTTCCTATTACTACTATTAAGATAAACATAGCTCTGATTTTCAATATCTCTTCATATTTCCCTTTAAAACATACAATTTATTTATTTATTTATATATCAAATTTGTCACCACCCATCTTGTTGAAATGACTCTGGGTGGTTTACAGCAAAGATAATTAAATATTATCTCTGCTGTTCAATTAAAAGACAATATAAAAACACTCTTAATAATAAATAAATTCCAAGAATGATAGAGTATTGGTAAATAACTCAGGGAGCGTTGTCAGGGTGCTAACCACCTCCAGGGACAATCAGAACTTCTACTGCCCCATGTGAGCTGGCAGAGCCAGGTCTTTAATCCTTTCCGGAAAGCTGGGAGGGCAGGGGCCTGCTGCACCTCTGGGGGGAGAATATTCCAGAGGGTGGGGGCAACGGCAGAGAAGGCTATCCTCCTGGGCCCTGCCAGCAGACATTCTCTCACTGACGGAGTCCGCAACATGTCCTTTCTGCCTGACCGGGTGGGATGGCTTGATGTAATGGGGGTGTTGAGTATAAAAGTAGGGCAGACCCCTATATATATATATATCACATCACCTTGGGCTGTCAAGAAAAGGCAGGATATAAATACAATAGATAAGTAAATAATGCCACTGTGTTCAAAGATCTTCATAGTTTATACCATTTTTTGTACCATTCAGCCCTAGGAGAGTACTTTTAATGATGAACCACAAGGGAAAAAAAATAGTTCAACAGGAAAAGAATTGAACTAAAAGCAGAAAAACAGTCAGCCTAGTACCTTAGTTTGTCTGTCACTAGCACAAAGAGCCAATTCAGTGACCCGAGGCAAGAATAAATCCAGGTATATAATGGGCTTCATATCAGCAAATGGAACTGCAAAATTCAAATGCTTCTCTATATCCCAGGATACAAATTTCTTCATCTTTTCCTCTGCAGAAGCAGCTGGTATATTTAGAAAAGAATACATGGAAAATTTATGTTAGCCATATAACTCTATGTTTGAATCAAGCTTTGTTAGCATACTTGAAGCATTCAAATTTATCAGACACAATCTGAGAACAGGACTGCACTCTACAAATCAGATACTTAATGACATAAGCAAATATTCCTCTAGAATAAAACTTTTCTTTTTAATTTTTGTAAACCACACATTTAACAAAAAAACATTCTGCACACTGCATCAGGTGAGAAACAAATCTTGCTGCCATTTTTATCCTAGTTCAGAAACCTCAATTACAGGACATGTTTTTTAAGTTTATTTCATAGTTCAAAGAGGCCATCAAGTCCATCTCCCTGTTCGGTGCAGAATTTTAAAAATTAAAATATCTCCAACACACGACTGTTCAGACTTTGAATATATCCACTGAAGAGGAAGATACCACTTCCCTTGATAACTGTAAGTGCAGTCTGTCAGTGGAACAAAATTTTTCTTGACTGTCAACCAGAAAATGTCTTCTAGCTTACATCTTTTATTTCATGTCCTATACCACTGGTTCTCAACAGGGGCAGTACCGCCCCCCGGGGGGTGGTGGGAGGATGCTGAGGGGCGGTGAACTTGTTTTGGGCGGTAGGGGGGTGGTGGGCATGTTTTGGGCAGTAGAGGGGCGATGAGCATGTTTTGGCATTCGAATTTAATTTTAAAACTCCCCAAAAAATTTATTAAATCGATTATCCGGTTTACACCATTTGTACCAGAAATAAAACGAACTTACGCGACGGCTGCCCTCACACA